ACATTGACGCTTCAGATGGAGAGGTTTTTCTCCTTGCAAAGTTTCCTATAGGATTTGTTCAGTGTCTACCATCAGCCAATTGTTTGTTCTACTTAAATATATTTTTATATCAGTATAAATATTACTCCGTCTTATGATAGTTACAGAATTAGGTATGTATTTGTGTCTAGTAATCGTTTAATCAAGATCGTTGCCAGTATCAAAGAATTACTACACATACGTTTAGATAAACAATCTGTTGTGGAAAATAGCGTTTTGACATTTTTTTTCCTCAATATTTTGTTATACTGCAGGGTATATTCCTTATTCATTGAAACGTATGCATCTACATGGATAGATGAAAATGTACAAAAGGAATGCAAATATAAATAGATATGAATTATGTTAAATAGTGATATTGCACGACTCCTTGTATGAAAAATACAAAACATATTTGTCAGAGCCCAAATGGCTCTACCTACTCATCTTGTAATGGGTGCAGCACAGTCCCTTTTTTGGAAGGCTAACCATAAATATTTGCCAAGAGCAATAATATGTTCATTCTTCTGTTATATATTCATTCTATTGAAAAAACTGAATTCATCCCTCAATGAATTTAATATTTTCTTTAATTTTATAAATATAATTAGTCCCTCCAAATTCATTTAGATGCACGGCTTGAGATCTTTGTGACTCACTAAAAACAGAATTAAAAATGCGCATTTCAGTTATACAATCTAGATTATTGTCTTACTTTTTCTAAGAAGATATTTCTGTCGTTTTGTTCTTAAAATAGCCAGAAATATTGATTTATTACCTCTTTTTATTCATGTATAAGCGTGCTTGTTAAAATGATTTAATCATATTTTTCCTGATTTAACGCCCGTGTTTGTTATACGACAGTCAACACTCACAGTCAAGTTTAGAAAAAGCAACAGAGTGCTGAAAATTGCACAAAATTGAAAATAAACGCATATAAGACACACGAATTTTGATTACTGACTGTGACAATATCCTTCTTTAAAGGATGTGATTAAAAAAAGTATAGATGACATAGGATCATTTTCATTGCTAGAAAAAAATCTAAGGACAGCTAATCAGCTTACTCACTTCACAAAAATCTCATAACTTATTTTTTAAATTTAGATTGCTTTACTTTTTTTTTTGTTGCTTTTTTAGTATATTTATATATCCAACAACTGGAACGAAATTATGTAGACAAACTGATATATGGCTACCACACCAAAAACAGTTTTCTAGAGAATGATTAATTAAAAGCTGTGTCTCTGTTTTCTGTGTTTACCATTAAATCTGCCGACGAAACAGAAATCCCCGGTCGGTTATGAGCCCAAATAAATAGTTCCTCGTGTCAGGTGCGTATGTAATAATGAATAAATAAACTTCTCGCGTTTGCGGCGAAGCCCCAAGAAAATATACCAGGCTCCACTTATTCGCATCTTTCGCCATTTCTATGAAAAATGTCTGTCACGGTAGAATTTATTGGTCTGTAATCCTTTAGAGATTTCAGTAAAAATCCATTTGGACGAGCCAAGGCAGGAGACGACAGCTGTGTTTTCTTTTTCTCTCTTTGAAAGTTTACTCCCTGGAAAACGTTTTACTCCTGAACGGTGCCTATAAACCCCAGTTAGGTCTCCTGCACGCTGCCTAACATTGATCAGTCGCTGTTGCGCAAGATATATGTTTTGGCTGGATGAAAACGTTCTCAGGTTATAGGGATAAAAAAGAAGAGAAAATTAGTAGACGGTATCGTTATTGACGCCACAAAGGTGCAAAAATAAAACAGAAGAAAAAAGAGAAGGGAGAAAATCGTTTTTAGTGTCTATGGCTCCACCACTCCTGCGGGCAAGGGGGGCGGGGTTGGTTATACTACCAACTGCAGTTCCTCAGGTAGAGACTTTCTTACAAATATTTTCACACATAGTCAAGGCGGTCTGAGAAAAAGTGTAATCACAAGAGTTACAGTTTCTGAATGAAGTCTTCAAAATATTGGCTTGTGGACCCTTATGGTAAGGGTGAAAAATCACTGGCTTGAGGGACAGTGGTGATTTCTCAAATTGGACTGAGATTTTTCTCAGAGATAGCATCATACATGTATCGCGTTGACTGAATCAAAGGCATTAAAATTTTGTACCGACAATTAAAGGCATGAAGCGACCTCGGTTGAAAACAATGCATGAGCTGAATTGAGTTTTAAAGTGAATCTACAAATAGACAGATCGAACGAAAATCGAAGGCGATTCCTTTTTATGACATCCCGAAATTAAGATGTAGAAAGCATGCGGTTCAAAACCTACAAGAAAAATACCAAATGATCATTTTTCACAATTGAAACCTAGCGTGGCTCGTTCTCTTCGGTTTTGTGCACTTCATTAAGCTGGCAGGGAGGAAAATAACTCCTTCCTCCACGCCTTCTTCTCCGCGTCTGAACGAGAGGCTCTTTCAGCCGAACCCCAGCCTGTCATCGCAGTAATTAGTAACAGTTTTCGCTACATCAGAGCAGGTATTCCCATCCTATTTCTCCAGCAATATGGCTCATTCCTGAGGAGCCAGGAGATCAGAGTAAGACTCCGAGAGATACGACCTTGATGGCAGTCGATCATCGCTGAAAGCACTGTGGAAAGGTCAACACGCGGGAAAGACCTTCCACCGATTATCAGATATGATGGATGATTTAACTGAAAATAGCAGTGCAAGAATTATGAATAAGTAAAGTGTTGTTGTCCCATGTAAATTTTAATATGCGTATATAGACCGGATAGCGGCTGCAGCATTTAGGAAGATGCGTTTTATTCCGGAGAGGACTAAATTCTTAATTTCGACAATGTGCGTAAGAACAAGTACGTTAGTGTTTTTATAGTTCACGTAGTTGACACTACATTTCCTAATGAATCAGTACTTTTATATGCTACGTATAATATAATTAAGTAGTATTAAAAGGAATTTAATGTAGTAATAGTGGACTGATATTTAAAAAAAAAAAAAACAACGTCGGAAAGTTTTTTTTCATCCTCCCCCAACTTTTCAAAACAAGCAATTTTCTTCTCGTTTCTTATATTATCCTTTAACATAAGACAGTAAATTTAAATGATCTCTGGTAGTTGTGTTCCTTTATATATATATATATATATATATATATATATATATATATATATATATATATATATATATATATATATGAATTCATTTATTGTGTTTATTGTGACACAAATGGCTAAAATATAGAGGACTTTTTTAAAAAATTATTTTTCAAATGACAAATTTGACTTCAAGAAAAAGCATGCATTTAAAACAAAGCAAGTGCTCCAAATGTCATAATAATGGACATGTAAAAAGCAGTTGCGAACAAAACAACAAAGAAGGGAAAAGCCGCAGACTAAAGACAAGCAAACTTGCAAATGAGAATTTCATAGCAGAGTGCGAACAAGCCAAGATCGCCTTGAAAAGCGGTTCAGGAGAGGTCATTTATTTTCAATTTACTGCATTGTCGTTGTAAATAAAAGATCGAATTTACAGCGGCGGGGCACGCTTGGTGCATTCCGACACGGAGTGGGATAATATCTTCAGAAGTGATCGGTAAACAACGTCTCAGAATCCCTCAGTCTTCAACACCACACACGCACTCCCCGGTGCCTTGCTTGACACGCTGGAGAACTAGTTCATGGGAAGAAAAACATTTTCTGATGCAATGGATAGGTGTTCGTATAAAATACGTTAAAATGGGGGTGGGGGGGGGGGGGGGTTAAGGCAGAACAAACATTTGCTCTTGCTCCCTCTTTCTTAATATCTTAAATACCCTAATTTGCTTTCAAAAGATTACACCACGCACATGATGGGTAAAATTTCAACAGCTCCAGTAGTTTTTTTTCGATAAAGATGATTATTTTGTGGTGCATTGAAAAGTATTTGGAAAATATGTTATTTAAAACAAATATTTAAACATCTAAATTTTATTTTTCGGAGTTACATATGTGCACTTCAGATGGCTGTGCTTAATTTTTAGCATCAATATTTTTAAAGGGGTTTATATTTTCAGCGACTCATTGCCAATCCTAAAGAAACCAAAGTACAGAGATTATAAATCACTCAGTATAAATACTGTGAACGTAGGAAAAGCATCACTGCCCAACACTCTCTATCTTCCTGTACTTGCTTTTTAAATTGGTAATGGATATTGATACTAAGAAGTATGAATTTCAAATGAAATAGTAAATAACTGTTAATTTTTGGAGCAAAATGTAGTCTCTGATCTATAAATAAATGAACGGCATGAATGAAATAAAACGGTTTAATGAATAAATTCAGAAATCCTTCCAGCTTGTCCAAAATTTAAGAATTTACTTCTTGGCCAAAATTAACCGCAACATGGCCGGCCGGGACAGCAGTGCAATGATCTCACTGTGAGGTGCGTTTTTCCTCCATCAGTCATCTATCAACCAGATTTGGACAACTGTCATATCTTCAAAGCGTAAAAATGATAGCTAATGGGTACCATAGGAAAATAAAAAGCTTCACACCAAAATTTAAACTCTCTTTTAATTTGGACAAATTGCCATCGGAGCGATTTGTTCCCCATTCGTTTCCATTATATGCCGAGCCTGGGAGTTGGAGCGTCCATTAAATTTCATTAAAACGCCATCAAAGCTATATGCAGAGGGCTCTGTGGAAAACATAACCGTGCCTGGGTTCAAATGGCATCGCAGTTATAATAAGTTTGTAGGCCAGAATGACAGTCCAGGGCGGGCAGTTGGTGGCATCATAACAGCGATATAAATTATTCGATTAAAAACGTGACAGGGAATCCCATTTCGGTCAATTAGAGACCTGGATATTTCTAAACTAATGTAAACACGGACTTGTTCAAGTATAAGTGATTATATATCGCGTGATCCCACGAGCCTTTATATTCTGGGCCAAATATTCTCTCTCTTTCTTTCTTTCTCTCAAAACAACAACAAAAAACGTGTATTTCAAATAAGAATACATTCTATTTCTTACCACTGTACAAAGAGTAAACGTCGTCGTGTAAGGATCAACATGGAATTACAAGCACTGAACAAGATATCCTACAGCACACAGTTTGAAATAACTAAACTAAGAAAAATGTTACTGCGCTGACGGCACTCAGTGTGTCCGGGGTTCACTTTACCTCGCTGCCCCGCCGCCTCTTAAAAAATCTCATAATGGAAAATTGATGGCAAACATGACGACATTGTGCGATGGAAAACTTCAGACATTGTTTGAATACAGTTTAACTTTGTGCTTTCTTGAAAGGGTACAAAAAGTATCCCAAAATATCTGTAAAAAAAGAAAAAGGCATAAAAAATGTAAAGCATTTTGAGGAATTAGCTGCTTTCAACGCAGGCATCAAAGTTCGAGGCAGACGGTCAGAGAGTATTAGTCTGTTAAAACCCAAAAAGTTTGCAAAATCCAACTCAGTTTTCTCTTCAAATTAGCACTGTTCACGCTGGTCATTCTTTCTTTACAAAACCAATCTTTGAGGAGACAACGTGGCGTGAAATATGTCAGTTAGGAACGCTGCATATGCACCAAGAACGCAAAATCATTCACCCCTTCGTTCTGGCTCAACCGATTGTCTATAAAACATCAGAGTGGGTTCAGCGTGCCTCCTGGGACGTTTTTACCATCCACCATATACCCCAGTACAATAATCGTGGTCCAAATTTCTCGCTGCCGTGACACTGTGACTAACTCCGTGTCCGTGTCTTTTTTACTCTCACATGTATGTCAACATTACGCCAATATAAATGCCAAATCTGTTGAGTCAAAGCTATAAACGTCTACAAACAAGTAGTCACAATGCTTTCTATGTAAGTTGCAGTGTCAAATACTTGTTTAACCAAACTGCTCTTAGGATATAGAAGTTCGATAAACATCAAAAATCAACTGCTGAGCCCGGTTCTGGAGTGAAAATGCTGCATGAATGTTCTAATATTGTAACAAAACCTGAGGCAATTTCTATATACCAAACATGATTCAGTTAGAAGTGGTTAAGTGAAATAACTGTTCTTTTGATACAATAAATTCGATGCATAAATAAATGAATAAGGACACAAAAATGAAAAGACCAGACGGGCAAAACAGTCTAATTGCACTCATATATATTTGGCACTGGCCCCATAAAAACTATTGTGCATTTTAAAAAATGCCCTTACCACTTTCAGCAACTATATGCATATTGAATTTTGATACCAATATAAGTAAACTGCAAAACATTTCTGGATAGCACCTAAAACTAATAAATATCTTTAATACTTATTCCATTTTACTTTTATTAAAAACCATTTGTCAAAATAAACAATATATTAGAAGCAGTGAAACAGTCTGTCCAGTGACATGTTTAGATTAACGTAATCGATGTGTTCGACATAAATAAAAAAATACGGACGGATTACACAAAAAAGGAGCTTTCCAAGTGAAATAGACCAGTTTAACCAGCAACAAAATATCTTATCTAACAGTAAGGTTAAAGCAAGATGTGTATCATCAAGCAGATAACTTCAGTTTAGGATGAAAGACCACCCTGACTTTCAATTCCGAGCAGAACAAGAAACATTTAGCAGCTTCATTTAGAAATAAACACAAGTTGGCCAGACTCGAAGCTCGCGCTGAACGCTGAAGTAACACAGAAGAAAAACTCTAACCATATAATAAGACAGCAGTCTAATAATCTAAATACCTTAACCAGATATTAAAAAATAGTATACTGTGATACCAGTAAACATATCATAAACGCATCAAAAACATTATAAATAACGCATGAGAATGATATATTATTATTATTCAAACTACCTTTGTTGAGGAGTATCTAGCAATCTTAGCACCATTTCACTACCTGCCTTGAGCAGTCTTGCAATCTTCATGTTATATCCCAGTGTCAAAGTACACATTCATGTAAAAGTAAAACCCCACTTTCTGACGTCATCAATACGTCACACTCTTCATCGCACGGTTTCCAGTTCAACGTCACAGTGTCACAGTACTCCATTGGCTATCATTTGGGCGAATAATATGACGTCACATGGATGTTTCCTGTATCTGGACTGTATTTCTATCTTCATAAGATAAAAACTAGAACTGAAACTGACATCAAATATTTGGATGATGATACTGACAGCAAAGATGTGAAGCAAGATTTAATCGATGTCAAAAAGCCTCAACGTGCAGTCATCAGCTTTGCAAATACATGGGAGTCACGGGCGCATAATAATTATAGCTTTGAGTGGCACCCTTTGCCATGTCACAACTCGGATTGACATTCACAGATGGCGCCACATTAGCTACGCCATGAGGAGAGCGGAATCCAAGTAGATTACTGACGGAATGTGTGTGAGCGTGAGACCAGCTCGGTGGAATAGACGCCATGCACGGCGGCTGCTTAGCGGTAGTCATTGGAAACGGCGTCGCGTTGACGTTAACGTTGACGTGATTGGGTGCCTGGGTCGGTGACAGTGACGTTGGAGACACCTGGTGGGCCATACTGACGTTGACGCCGACGTTCTGCATTGGTGCAGGGCACGTGTAGGGATAGAATGTTGCAGTGTTGTAAAAAGACCTCGGGTCAGGTCCTATGCTGATATTAGGCTTGGCGTCAAACTGGGGTGCAGTGCTGGTAGGGCTTTGTAGCCCTCCAATTTTATTCCTTAATATTCGACTGATGGAACTCACTGAAGGAACATTATATTTATCACAAACGCCATCAGCTAAAAGTTTGTCTCGTATTTCCCATGCGAAAATTCCTGGGTCCCGTTCTTTGTACACTTTGATGTGCTTCACGACATTGGGTGTGGTCACTCTTGGCTTGCTGCCCCCTATTGCACCAGGAAGTATGGAACCAGTCTCGTTGTATCTCGCGAGAATTTTACTGACGCAGCCATGAGAGACTCGTAACTGCCTGCTGATGTCACATGGTCTGACGCCAAGCTGCGCCAGCTCCACGATACGTAACCTGATGGCGTTGGGAAGTGGTCTCCCGTTGACAAACACGCCCCCTAGCTGGTTGACTTCACCAAAAGGCGGCGGATTCTGATCTGAAAGTTGAAAGAGAAGATTCATCAAGCTGGTTTTGAAATCTTATAACTCGTTCCTAGAAAATTAATAGTGATGAAATTTTAAAGACAATGGAAAAATAATTATGAATTTAATTCAAATGAACAACAGACATTAAACTTTGAATAATCTATCTTACAAGCCCGTTAATTTGGAAGTTTCAAAATTAACAGATCATTACCATCATAATAAAAAAATAGTTTCACCAAAAACAATAAACATATTTTCCAAATTATATTTGAATCATTCTACAATTTAAACAAAAATGTTGGGGCGAGCTTTTTAACATCTAATAACACACTTATGACCAATACAATCAGCTACCTTTATAACAGCAAAACAGGTTTAGAAATCAAGTCATTCTATTTCGTCAGTTAGAAATTTTTATTTACTTCTAGTTTTTTTTTTCGTCAATATAAATTAATTTTACTTATAAAGTTAAGTACAAATTCAAAACCTAGTCAGTGTGTATGCTTCTGTTGTGAAATGTTTCAAAACTCTCCCCAGACGTCGGCACTGTTTTACTCTATAAATCTTTTTGTCTACGTAATTATATATTTTACGTAAAACCTGTACTCGCAAATTTAGATTTATCCTCTTTTGCCTGCTAAATACAAACAATAGGTTTGTATCAAGTTTGAACGTTGAACACATCATCGTAACCCCACAACAAGTAACACGATCTGAATGTTTGAAGCAAAAAGAAACATCGGCATGATTTACTTGCATAACCATATGTAAATATCATAATTCACTTCTATTTTCGGCGTGCACTTCACGCGAGGGGGACTAGGTACGCCATAGTGCACTTCTACTAATGTTCACTGTGTACTTTACCGTGTAAACACTCGCGACGGGAACAATGTGGGATCCACAGCTGGGGGATGTCTTGTTCACTTTTTCAAGTCACTAAAAGCCAACCTTTAAAAATGTGAATCACACAGCGATTTAACAGGTCTTTGTATTATACTATTTTTTAAACTATATAGAGGCACTTCGAGCCATGTAGTGAAATGATGCGATTGATAGTTTGCTTCGTAGAAATCGTAGTAAAATATATGAAAATACAACTGTGCAATGACAAAAAAGCATAAATTCCCTGGGACAGAGGATTGCAAAGTAACATCATACTAAAATTTCGTAAACTAATCATTTTAATATATATTACTCGGTTTGGAAAATTTTGCCGCTCAAAATCGGTCGCTGTCTTCGGTGCTTTTTTTTTTTTTTTTCATTGATGATAAAACCAGGATGATAACTATTAATTTTCATAAGGAACGCGTTGGTCGTTTCATTAATTTTTTTAAATACGTTTTGCAACCTACTGAAAAAAGTGTCAAAGACCTTCACAATTTATGTTTTAATTGGGTTTTAGTTAGCATTATAATCTACATGTTAAAATTATCTATCTGTTGTCAGTATTCGTTCTTTACATTTCTCCATTTTACTACTACTGTTTTTCTTTCTTTCGCACACCACACCTATAATCTTATATTATAATAAGCTTACAAAGAATAAACCCTCCTAGAACAAGTAAATACTTGAATTATTTGTAGAAAATTCAGAATATAGAAAGACTGAAATTTATCCTATTCAGAATCATATATTGTGTTCTGAAGAGCTTTATCGGTGATTTTTATGCACAACTAAGAACACTACTGATGAGATGTGTGCTTTTTTATATTTCCCTGCTAATATAATTTTGGTACAAAATGTTTTGTATTATTATATACTTCATTTTTTATATATAAACATAGGTATGTACAAACCTTACATAGTTACTGGCATTCTTATATGTTTTTAGACCTTGGTAAGGATTTCTTAAACAAACAAAAAAAAAAAAAACAACGTTTTATTCTGTTTTTTTTAACATTTGCTTTAAATTCATATTTCCATTAGAACAAAATTGGAAGAAAAATCTTACCAGCAAAACACTGGCTAATCAGGATGTCACAGACACAGAAAGTTCAAATGTACATAGTTTTATTTTATGGCAGACCTAAAAATGATCAATCAAAGCAATTCTCTCAGTAATAAGGTACTTTTATTCAAACAACGAAGTTGACAACTTGTAACCTTTATTTTTTATTGTGTGTCTTCGGTAATTTGAATGGAAAATTTTTCTAGAAAGAAATAATAAGTTTCGCAAATCAAGAACTACAGACTATAGAAATACAGGAGATTATTACATAAATTCAAAGTTTAGATGATTAATCAAATAGACAAGGAGGATTTTATAATAATAATAATAATAATGATTTATTGAGCACAGAAATACCTTTACATTTAAAGGCACTCTAACTACTATGTATATACATATGATAATTATACTGATAGTAAATAAATGAAAAAAAAAATAAATATAAGGTTATACAATATACATTATAAAGGGATTGTTATAATATTATTATATCATTTATTATACTATAACGTTAGTTGGGAAATGTTAAAGGCATTATTGTACGTACGACCCAAACGGTACACACGACTAGCTGAACCGAGTCTTCAGTCAGAGAAGCACCTGAACGAATCAGATTCCTTGCTCAAAAAATGCCAAGATTCCTCCAAGATTCCAAAGTAGCAAATCCAAAAAATGTGTTCTTAACGATACAATCCTTCTCAGTTTTCTAAATTATGACAAGTGAATTCGGATAGAAGATAAAGAAATGGCGACAAAGTCCGTTGTTTTCTTAGGGCTAAATGTTAGTTTTTCTTGGCCCTTTAGCGCTGAATGCAATGAACATCAAAAGAAAATCGGACTCGGAACTGAGATAGTGATCCGCTTAATATCTCCAAAATGTGACGGCTCTGGGTGGGGTTTCATGCACGAATTTTAAGCCTCTAAGGGATTTGAATTATTTTCTAATTAAAATGCCCTGGGTTCGGGGCCGGTGGGAAAATACTGGGGTTATTCCTCGGAGCCCTTTCAAAACCGGGCTTCTTACAAGCAGAGTAAGCCTCAGGGAAAAAGCATGAACCCATGCAGAAAGCTCACTTTCATGCGGCTCGTCATTAGTTTGACATTTAATCTGGCTACAAGGAAAAGTAGAGATCGGCACAAATCAAAACTAAGGCATCACCTTGCATCGTCTCTCGCCCCCTACTTAATTAACCGTTGAAAAGGGATTTACTAGAGCAACGCTTAATTAAATTCCACCAGCTAGTTTACAATGTGAGCAATGTTAGTGCTTAGGAGAAAAGAGATGACAAATTTTATGCCGAATGAAAATGATATTTTCATCTCTCTTGACTTCTGTTTCAACATATTGACAGAGCGGATCATTGGTTCTGTGGAGGAATTAGCATTCGTTTGTGGTTGATCTGTAATCACAATTGATATCGTAAGAAGAGAAGGATACAAACAGAATCTATTTAAGACGCCTTTTTCACCCGGTCAAATCGGGAATACAACAGAAGAGAACAGACAGACAGAAAAGAACGGCAAATCCTCGTCTGGCAGGTCTGACTGGCTCGTTTAACGCGTCTTCTTGAATCATCTGAGGTGACATACTCTTAAACCCAAAACACTGCGTTTACCATAGAGCAGGAGTTGTTTTAAAAGTCAGCAGTCTAAATTAAAGACGGTTTTGTGTCTTTTACACTTAGGTCACGCTTTCTTGATCTGAGGTAAACGCTTTCATTGTCCTACTCATGTTTTATTGGAAAAGAAATGCCTCAGCGAATGTATTTTTGGTGCTCAGAGAAGAGTGGGCTTTAAAGGCCTGCGAAATAGTTTGCCGAAAATTAAAACATAATTGGAGACGAAATTGCTCGATGCAGTCGCTAAGCAACGCACAGGCACTAAGCATCTTCATCAAATATTTTTTTCACGGGGCAACCATATAACGACTAAACTCTTTCTTCGTCAAAAATGTACGAGCCAATTCTGTTTATGTTTCCGCGTGTAATTCACACGTTTTAATTTCAGTAATCNATAAATTCAAAGTTTAGATGATTAATCAAATAGACAAGGAGGATTTTATAATAATAATAATAATAATGATTTATTGAGCACAGAAATACCTTTACATTTAAAGGCACTCTAACTACTATGTATATACATATGATAATTATACTGATAGTAAATAAATGAAAAAAAAATAAATATAAGGTTATACAATATACATTATAAAGGGATTGTTATAATATTATTATATCATTTATTATACTATAACGTTAGTTGGGAAATGTTAAAGGCATTATTGTACGTACGACCCAAACGGTACACACGACTAGCTGAACCGAGTCTTCAGTCAGAGAAGCACCTGAACGAATCAGATTCCTTGCTCAAAAAATGCCAAGATTCCTCCAAGATTCCAAAGTAGCAAATCCAAAAAATGTGTTCTTAACGATACAATCCTTCTCAGTTTTCTAAATTATGACAAGTGAATTCGGATAGAAGATAAAGAAATGGCGACAAAGTCCACTGTTTTCTTAGGGCTAAATGTTAGTTTTTCTTGGCCCTTTAGCGCTGAATGCAATGAACATCAAAAGAAAATCGGACTCGGAACTGAGATAGTGATCCGCTTAATATCTCCAAAATGTGACGGCTCTGGGTGGGGTTTCATGCACGAATTTTAAGCCTCTAAGGGATTTGAATTATTTTCTAATTAAAATGCCCTGGGTTCGGGGCCGGTGGGAAAATACTGGGGTTATTCCTCGGAGCCCTTTCAAAACCGGGCTTCTTACAAGCAGAGTAAGCCTCAGGGAAAAAGCATGAACCCATGCAGAAAGCTCACTTTCATGCGGCTCGTCATTAGTTTGACATTTAATCTGGCTACAAGGAAAAGTAGAGATCGGCACAAATCAAAACTAAGGCATCACCTTGCATCGTCTCTCGCCCCCTACTTAATTAACCGTTGAAAAGGGATTTACTAGAGCAACGCTTAATTAAATTCCACCAGCTAGTTTACAATGTGAGCAATGTTAGTGCTTAGGAGAAAAGAGATGACAAATTTTATGCCGAATGAAAATGATATTT